CTTCCACAACCGTTTTGATAGCCTACTTTTTTTTTAAACTACTAAATTTTTAATATCTTAAATTAAACTTTAAATATCTGAGAGAGGAGTATAATGTACAGTGTTTCCCAAATTTATTTAGCCACAGACCTTCACTTTCAAGAAAGGCTATTAAGGAACATATTTTAGAAATTATTGAAAGAGGTAAAGTTCTTCTTGACCAAGCCTCTAGACCACAAAGACACAATTTCTTTAAAAGGATTATCATTAACTACCCTAAATATTGATTCTGAAAACATGGCTGTTTTAAATAGATATTTTTTAAAAGTCAACATACCATTAAAATATTTTTCTTTCTCCCATAAGAAAGTAGATTAAAAAACTAAATAACCTGGAACAATCCCATAGAGTGTCCATGGCCTTGCATCAAGAAGATAAAAGAATCCTAGATACTTTTATCAGTTCCATGAAAGAGCTAAAAATGGGTTTTCCAATATCCAGCAGAGTTATAGCAAAGTTGTGATTTCTAAGGGAAAATAATGTTCCAGTTAATTAGAGTATTTGTTTTAGTTTTCCCAAAAGTGTCTGATTCCCCTCCACCCAGAAAAGAAGCAGGCGCATGTGAACAGGTAAAAACTGAACAGACAGCAAATGAAAGCTCTGCTTGTTCCTTACGACCCAATTATTGACACAGCAAGATGTGTGAGGGATATTCCTGAGTGCCAGGTCATCAAGGGCTGGGCACTACGATGGGGCTGTGATGCACTCAACATTTTTAATTTGTATTACTGACAAACTTGGAGTCCAGCTTGCCTTAGTTCCATAAAGAGAGATTTATAACCGCTGAAAGGCCAACAAACACCTTCCACACCCTACCACCGCCACCCACTGAAATTTCTGTAGAATTTCAGCCTTTCAGAATAAGATTGAGCCCTGATACATTGCAAATACCTCAGGGAGATATTTTATTTGTCTGTTTACTTATTTATATTGCACAGTAGCTTGTAAACACCTTGGGAACACACACCCTGGTCAATGTCAGTCACCGTCTACCTCCAATGCCCAGCATAAAGCAGTTAAGTACTTGGTAACTGTTTGTAGAATTAATGAGAATTAACATGAAGATGTGTCAAGTCACTCATATCTTAATGTGGGTGAATTCCTTCAGATCCCTTCCTGAGAAATTCTGATAGATTGTTATATAAGAAGAGTTAAGAGAACCCCGATGAGGAAAAGCGAGCCCAAGAAAGGCCCCTCTTCCATTCTGCGTGGAAACTTCATTCTGCCACGATCAGTCTAAAAGGAGCAATCTCGGGGTCATAAATGCATGGTTCTTCAAGGGAAATCCCAGCCTTTTGCTTGAATGCCATATGAAATTATCTTGTTTCTCCATGGAAGTCCCTCTACACTTCAAAAATCTAATTTTGAAGAGACATACTAGTTATTGAAAACTATTTACTGGCAGTAAGGTTAAGATCAAGAACAAGAACCCCAGTCTTTCAGGCATCTTTTGTAAGCCCGGAGTGCCTGGTATACTACTTACCCAATCACTAATGCTTGATTAATCAACATAAAGAATATTGAATTGGTAAATGTTATCCAGCCAATGCAACGTGATCAGACTCCAGCCTCTGGAGTCAGATAAACCTGGGATTACATCCTGGCTCCACTGCTTACTAAAATTCTGTAAGCCTAAATATCCACATCTGAAAAGAAAGATATTAATAAAACCTCTCTCATGGGGTTTCAATAAGATGTGAATAGGAATGCATATAAACTGCTTAGCACTGCGCCTGGCATGTAGGAAGCACTCAAGAAATGGGAATTATCATTTGGAAACCTAGGTTCCCATTCTAGACCACCTCCCTGAGGATCTTTGGACTAGTCACTATGAACAAGCTAATGAAAATGTGGAGACAGAATTACCTGCCCTTTAATGCCAGGATTATCAATCATGAATATGGAATAGAAAATGTACAGAAATGTTGAAAAATAAAATCCTTAAACAAATTCCAGATTTTGTCAGTCGTACTTGAAATTTGCATATAATGATCACAGATCATTCAGCAGTGGAATCAAAAATGAAAAAGCCTGCACACTCAAACATCAAAGCAGGTATTCTCCTCAAATACTTGAGTGTCTGTGTAGATGATGGACTTAGTGAAACACTTGTACATGTATGTGTGTGTGTATACATGTGTCTGTGTGTACAATTCTCAATAATAACTGGCTTAAAGACTATTTTGTCATCATATTTTTTCACACCTGAGGTTAAATCTGTTTTCTTTCTCAGTCCTTAAAATGTATCAGTTGTAAATATATTACCTAGTGTCATTGTCCAATTTAACTGCTGTGTTATACAGGACCATTACAAGTGCATAGGGCCCTTTGTAGGAACTGGAGAAAGGTCACCCTGAGCACAGGCTGGGTTTTCAGACCCCACTCACCCCTGAGTTGGGCACTCTTGTCCAAGAGTACAACCATACATGGCAGTCACGCAGATAAGCACATAGATCTCTATATATAACCAGCATGCCTGCATAACTGTCTATATGATACATACCCACACATACACAAATGTGACTGAAAAAGTTGTCAAGAATTTAGCTGAGTAAATGGAGAAAGATGTTCATCAAAACTGAAAATACAAAGTTTCAAAGAGTTCAGGAGACAAACCAAGTTCCTTTCCCCTCCCTCACCTTCAGCTCCCCAGTATGGGGATATTATAACCAATAGAAGCTTTGGAGATGGGTGGTGGATACAGGCTTTGTCATTACAAAACTCTGATCCCTGGGAAAGCTATGGTCTCTCTCTAGCAGCTCTCTCGCTGGAAGGGAGGGATGAAGGAAGGAAAAAAGGAAGGATGCCTGAGATAATCTTTAAACCTTAAACCTAAAATATCTCCTGAAGTCTTCTTAAAACCAAACAATAGTTTAGCTTAACTAGTAAAGAATGTCTGCCTTGAGCATTGTGCTCTTTTAAGAACTATCTATATGAGTTCAAACTGACAACAGCAAATCTAAAGACTAGACAGGAACCTTAGACGGCAGTGAGTTTATGTTAATGGAGGAGGAACAATACAGAAAAGAAAGGTGAGAATGGTTGCCTGACTTGAAGAATGTAATCAATGTCACTGAATTGTACATGTAGAAACTGTTGAACTGGTGTATGTTCTGCTATGTATATTTTCAACACAACAAAAAATAAAATAAATTATATATATTAAAAAAAGGAAGGCTGGAGGAGAGAAGGAAAAAAAAACAAAAACTATAGACACCAATGGACCTACTCAACTGAGTTTGCCAAAACAGTGGTAAATAAATCACTGCTGTTGCTTGGACTGCATTAAAAACCTTAATTACTCTTGGGTATTCCCAGGCAGGAATACACTAAATGATGCACGAAGTAGTCTTAAAATGTTCTGCCTCCTTCTTGAGCCTTTCCCTTCCAGATACTCAACTACAAAAGACACAAAATTACTTTTGTTTACTATTGCATACTCATGTCTATCTTGTCAAACTTTACAATGGCTACCTTCCTTAAAAAATAAGGGCATATTATATTTTTAACACTTTTGTACCTAGCCTTTTTGACCTTAACATTAGCAGCTTCAACAGCTATTTAAGGAGTAGAAATTCCAGGTTAAATATCATGCCTCATTCACAAGCACAAGGAGACAATGTACGAGAATATTCATTTCAGCATTGTTTATAGTAAGTTTGGAAGCAATCTATATTCATTAAAAGGAGAATGCATAAATAAATTATAATATATTCATACAATGGAACACCATGTAAGAGTTAAAATGGAAAGAACTTGAGCTACTTGTACTACAGGGATAAATCTCAAACGTCATGTTGAGTAGAAGAAAGGCAAGTTGCAAAATGATGCATACAGTACAGCACTATTCATATAAGGTTTAAAAACCGACAACTACTATCTCTGCCTTAGAATTTGCTGTTATTACAATCCTTCATATTCCTTGTATGCACAATAAAAACCTAAGGAATATATGCACAATAAAAACCTAAGGAATATAGAAAATTAGGGTCGAAAAAAGACTATCAGTCATATAAATTTCCTCAAATGGCAGCGAGGGAGCCTGATTTAGTAGTTAAGATCACTTAGCCACTGAAGCCAAAAGATGTGTGTTCCACCTCCGTTCTGCTACCTACTAAGACACTTGATTTCACTGAGCTTCAGTTTTCTCACCTAAATGGGGTTGACAACACCGCCTCATAGAATCAAGTGAAGTAATACACCGTAAAAGTACTTCACAGAAAGTTTTAGACTTGTTTTCTGCCTCACCAGTCAACAACGTAATAATGCGCTACAAGAAAAAATGCTGAGTCTGCACTTTTTTCATCTAGTTCACTATATGTAAGAAAAGTCAAAGAACACAACAGGAAGGGGCAACCCACCACCTTCCTCTTCCCAGTCCCAGATTCGGCTGCCTCCTAGGCTTCCTATATTTAGCACAGAGTGGGGTAAAAAAAAAAACACGAAACCGTGCCTCTAGTAGTGCTCCCTTTGGAACTCCTGGTGACCTTGGGATACATCTTCTCTCATCGAGCCACCCCCACCACCGCCCCAACACACACACACCTCTGCAGTCCAGGAGGCAAATGAACAACCTAACCGTCATAGTCACTAAAAACGACAGTGCGGTGTTGTTGCGGGTTGGAAGGTTCTGTTTGTTTTCAAAAAATGAAGAGGAAAGGCTACAGTGTACTCTTAGCGCCTACTCTGCAAAGAAGAAAGGATGAGCACCTGGGCAAACAAGTTCTGCGACTGGTTTCCAAACACACAGTCCCTGCATCTGGAGTCAATACAAAGACAGGCACCGCCAGACCCAGGCGCAACCACGCTGGCACCCCGAGGGTCCCGGGAGCTGCAGGCCAGGCTGGCAACTGCACAGACCTACCGCCCAGCACCTCCCACACGCGGGACCGCGGATACACACCGCAGGCAGATGCGCTCGGAGCCCCGCGCCCTCCCCCCGGACTGGCCGCGGCGCCTACCTGTCTTGAAGACCATCTTGTCCTGGTCGTCCGACCCGAAGGTCTTCAGCATGGACACGAAGAGCACTCCGCAGGCGTTCTGGATGCCGAATACCGACCCGTTGCACCACATGGCTGCCAGCATCACCAGCCAGCCCCAGCCGCCCTCGGGGGGCTGAGGGGGTTCGGAGCCCACCGGCCCCGTCAGCTCCACCTCCACCTTCTCCGCGGCCGCCTCGGGGCCGTCCGAGGGTCCCGGGCCGGGCAGCAGAGTGGTCTCCATGGGTTCAGGGTAGGGTGGCGGCGCCTCGCTCGTCCCCCGTGCGGCGGCGGACTCCTCCTGGGAGGGCACCATGGCCCGAAGCGGCCGCCTCAGCGCCGCGGTAGTGCGAGGGGCGCGAGTTCCCGGCGAGCTCCCGGAGGAGCTGCCGGTCGGGCGGGCTAGTGAGGCCGAGGCGAGGGCGGTGGAGCCGCCGGCGAGCGGGCGGCGCACGGCGCGGAGGCGGGCGCGAGGACAGCAGCAGCAGCACGAGAGCGCCTCAGGTATCAGGACTCCGGACGTGCAGTCCACGACGCCCGGCCCCCCGGGGGGCCCGTGGCCCAGCGGCCCACTCTTAAAGGCTCCCCTCGCCCCGCAGGCTGGGGGCGTGGCCATCAGCGGGACGTGCCCCCCCGAGTCTCTAGCTGATTGGGCCTTAGAAGGCCGGAGGCGGGGCTCAGAAAGCTAGAGTCCTCCCGGCGCCCTCCTCCCGCGCTCTCCCAGCGCCCCGCCCCGCGGCGTGCGGACCAGGTGCCTGCGGACGCGTGCGTGTCTGTCAGTGTCTGTGCACGCGCGTGCCCTGGGGCGGCTTCTTTCCCAGTGGGAGTCACAAATGTGTCTGTCACCCCGCCTCAAAGTATTAGCACAAGGGCCACGTCTGCTCCTAGGTGCAGTCTGCGTGGGTCATCAGGAGCGCAGTAAGGGATCTTTAGCTTGACACAGCGTCACAACCAAACTCTAACATTGTCTCTTTGTTTTGCGTTTTAGCATTTACCACTTTTACTAATTATAAATTCCATTATGGCACCTGCCTACTCAAAAAGTCAGAAGGATCAGAGGTCTTACTTAATTACTTCTGTTCAATTCTCCGGAGCTCATGCAATTTCCTGTGAATACCTGGCACATTGAAAATGCTCGTTTTGGAAGATAAAGACTGTGATGCTAATGTCTTCAACCAACAAACATTATTAACAGCTAGAAAACTGTTTTTAAACTACAGCACAGTTGTTTTCTTTTTAAGCAAAAACTAGAACCAATATTCAACTCCTTTGTCCCCGGAAGCATGTCTGTAAAAGGAAGGAAGAGTAGCTATGTCATATTGAGCACGCTTCTTAATTTCTCAGTTACTCCGACTCTTCATTTCAATCAAAAATCAAGACATACTAGTTATTTTACGTGCCTAACCACTGTAATGGAGACGGAGACCGCAAGGGTGTACACGAATGAGTGTTATCGCTCACATTTGTGCCTTTCATAAACTAGTAGCTAAAACAGAGTCCTGGGGCAGAATAGGAGTCCCAGGTGATAAGTGTTATAATACATGTATAACAAAAAGAGCTGGGGGGGACTATTCTCTTTGAAACAGTGGAGAAGAGCTTCTATAGAAAGTAGCCTTTGAGCTGACACCTGAATCATGCACTTCAGTGGGCAAAGAGGTTGGGGGAAGAGGGAGGTGGTGGGCATTCCAGGCAGAGAAAATAGGGGAGGCTAAGGAAAACAAGCCATACTTGAGGAACATAGCTCAACAGTAATATGCCTCAGGGATGAGGTTAGAATAGTAAACCAGGGAAGTAGTCACACAAGTGCACAAAGATGAAGTAAAAACATTTTATGCCAGCATTGTTGAAAATAGGGAAAAATTGGAAGCAAAAATGTGCATCAGTAGAGGACTGATTAGATACTGTGTAACCTCTAAAAGTTATGATGTTCATCTATATTTATTGACTTAGAAAGTTGTCCACAACATATTATTGAGCAAAGAAAGCATGTCAAAAAAAAAAGTATGCAGCCCCTTAAAACCAAATGGGCCTAATGCGGTACAGTAGTCCAGTGACAGGGGACAGAAGGCAGAAGGGGACAACGAAGCTGGTGATAGGGAACCCAAGGTTGAGTAAGGATAGTGTTGAGGTGTTGTGAGATTGTTAACCATTGTCATAGCGCAACATGTGTAGTAACTGTTAAATGAGAAATTATTTTGTTCTGTAAGCCTTCATCTTAAGTGAGAATAGCAGCACAATTGGAAGAGCATAGTTGATGTCACTGAACTGTGCATGTAGAAATTTTAGAAATGGTGTATCTTTGACTATGTGTATTTTCACCAAAAAAAAAAAGGCTGAGAAGTTAGAAGGTTGACATGTTGTGGGGTTGTTGACCAATGTCATAAAACAATACGTGTACTACTGTTTCGTGAGAAACTATTTGTTCTGTAAGCCTTCACCTGAAGTACAATAAAAAAAAAAGTATGTATGGATTATGATCCAAAATATAAATATTTGTGAGTTCATACTGATGTAGATAAATCATTGAATAAATACATTAATGGAGAATAGACAAATCTCTCTTGCAGAAGAATTCCAACAAATTTCTGTAGATACTTCACCCTCAAGAAGGTGAAGTACAACTTACCACACCTTAGGTGTGGGTTGCACATACTGTAGTGACTTCCTTCCAAACAGTATAGTATGGAAGAGGGGAAAAAAGAAAAACTTTAGAGTACAGACATCTGACATACACTACTTTAGCCAGGTGATGAAAGTTAACATCAACAGTGATAAGTCATATTTATAGTATGTACACTGGATATGATGTGATGAAAATAGCACTTTACCTCTGTGGTCTGCCTCCCAAAGTCCATAATCCCAGTCTAATCATGAGAAAAACATCAGATAAATCTTAACCGAGGGACTTTTTTGTTTGTTTGTTTGTTATCGTTGTAGTTTAAGTGAAAGTTTACATTTCAAGTTAGTCTCTTATACAAAAATTTATATATACATTGTTATGTGACCCTAATTGCTCTCCTCATTTCCACCCATGATTTCCCATGTCCATTCAACCAGCTCCTAACCCTCTCTGCCCTCTCATCTCAGCTCTGGACAGAAGCTGCCCGTTTACTCCCATGCATCTACTTGAGCTAAGAAGCACACTCTTCATGAGGATCATTTTATGTCCCACAGTCCAGTCCAATCTTTGTCTGAAGAGTTGGCCTCAGAAATTATTTTAGTTCTGGGCTGACAGGAGTCTGGGGGCCATGCTTTCTGGGGTTCCTCCAGTCTCAGTCAGACCATTAAGTCTGGTCTTTTTACTAGAATTTGAGTTCTGTACTCCACCTTTCTCCTGCTCCATCCAGGACTCTGTTGTGTTCCCTGTCAGGATGGTCATTGGTGGTAGCCGGGCACCATCTAGTTCTTCTGGTTTCAGGCTGATGAAGTCTCTGGTTTACGTGGCCCTTTCTGTCTTTTGGGCTACTACTTTCCTTGTGTCTTTGGTGTTCTTCATTCTCCTTTACTCCAGGTGGTTGGGACTAATTGATACATCTTAGATGGCTGCTTGCAAACTTTTAAGACCCCAGATGCCGCTCACCAAAGTAGGATGCAGAACATTTTCTTAATAAACTTTGTTATGCCAACTGACCTAGATGTCCCCTGAAAGCGTGGTCCCCAGACCCCCACTCCTGCTACTCTGTCCCTCGAAGTGTTTGCATTCAGGAAACTTCCTAGCTTTGGTTTAGTCCAGTTGTGCTGACTTCTCCTGTAGTGTATCCCATCCTTCCCATCACCTAAGATAATTGTTGTCTACCATCTAGTTAGTGAATAACCCTCACCCTCCCTCCCCACACTCGTAACCATCAAAGAATGTTTTCTTCTGTGTTTAAACTTTTTCTTGAGTTCTTATAATAATGGTCTTATACAATATTTGTCCTGTGACTGACTAAATTCACTCAGCATAATGCCTTCCAGATTCTTAATTGATGGACATTTTACAAAATATCTGGTCAAGCCCTCAGCTGCTAACTGAAAGGTCAGCAGTTGGATGCCCCCAGCCACTGGGTTCCAGAGAAAGATGTGGCAGTCTGCTTCTATAAAGATTTACAGTCTTGGAAATCCTATGGGATAGTTCTACTCTGTCCTATGGGGTCACTATGAGTCGGAATTGACTAGCTGGCGACAGGTTACTCCTCGGTACTGTCAAGGCCATCAAAAACAAGAAATGTCTGATCAACTATCACAGCTGAGAGGAGCGTAAGGAGATACGATGACTAAGTGTATGTGGTATCCTAGATGGCATCTTGGAACAGAAAAATCTTTTACATTAGATAAAAACTAAGGAAATCTGAATAAAGTATGGACTTCAGTTAAAAATAATGTAATAATATTAGTTCATTAGTTGTAACAAATGTAAGAGGTTACTAATAGGTGAAACTGCAGAGAGTGGGGAGAGGAAGTATATGATGCTGCTCTTGCTTTGCAATTTTGCTGTAAATCTAAAACAGTTCTAAAAATAAAGTTTTTTTTTTATAAAAAGTATATATATTATGACTCCTTTCTTGTAAAAACGTGTATGTATGTCTGCATAACAGTGTATTAAACATAATAGTTTATCTTTAAAGTTTCATTTTCTTCTATATAATGTTTGTACACTGAGTGTATGAAATGTTATTTTTTGATATATAGTTCCTTCTCAAAATTCTTTCCTATTGACGTGTCAACATTCTTTTTAAGCATTATGCAGTACACTCTATTTTCAGTTTTGTTAAAGTTTGACAGTTCTCAGAGGGAGTTGATTTAGGAGTGCTCTGACTTAAAACATTAAAGAGTTAATGTCCGCAAAGCACTTAGCAGTGTCTGACACCAGCAAGCTCTTAGTAAATGTTAATGGCTGTTATCATTTACTATTATTATTGTTATTGATGACATCAATGTTTCTAATAACTCTCCTTCATCATCATTTTATTGGAAACAAAGTAATTCAAAGGAATGTTCATATTTTGATAAAATACTGCTTTTTTAAGCGCAGAAATCTCAGGTCAGGAAATTAAAATACAAAAACCATTAAATATAGGAATTTAGACATCCTTGTCATCAGCTATTGTGTTAGAGTCATGGTTTGAATTATGTCCCCCAAAAAATGTGTGTATCAGTTTGGCTGGGCCATGATTCCCAGAATTGTGTGGTTAGCCTCCATTTTGTGATTGTAATTTTATGTTGAAGAGGATTAGGGTGGGATTGTAACACTACTTGTACCCAGGTCACATCCCTGATCCAATGTAAAGGGAGTTTCCCTGGGGTGTGGCCTCCACCACCTTTTCTCTCTCAAGTGATAAAAGGAAAGGGAAGCAAGCAGAGAGTGGGGGACCTCATACCACCAAGAAAGCAGTGCTGGGAGCAGAGCGTGTCCTTTGGATCGGGAGTCCCCGTGCTGAGAAGCTCCTGGTCCAGGGGAACACTGATGAGAAGGCCAAGAGAGAGACAAAGCCTTCCCCTGGAGCTGACACACCTACTTTAC